TATATATAAAATAAAAATCTTATATTTAAATTTTATGAAAATTCTAAGAATAAAAGATTGACAACAAGCTACGGATATTCTCTCTTTCGTCCGTACTCTTATATAACTTTGACATCCTCATTATTCATGATTATTCCTTAACAACAGAAGATTATATGAAATGAGCATGAAATTCTTTCCCTGTTTATATTGTTCTCACGGCCTTCTTATCTAGTGTTCTTAATCGACATTTTAAACGAAACTCTTTTCTCTTTTTTATCGTCGCGTAGTCGACAGCGTGCGATTTTCAGAATGCAGTCGAGTGTAAATACCGTCGTGAAAGCCGTAGCGACCGACTGAGAGACAAGTAACTCGCGTTGCCTTGCTCCCCTCCATCGTCGTGATTTTCCGCATGTATAACGCGAGGAAGAGAGCAGAGCGACTTAATAGATGCCTCTCAATCCTTTGATCTTTGTCTCATTGATTCGATGACCTTCTTTAAATACCGAGATCACGGTCAGTGCGCGACTTTCGCAACTAAAGACGCAACTGAACTCTTGCCGCCGCAGTGTGGACAGCTAATTTTTTTTTCCTTCTCGTCATTATTGTATTCTGTTGTGTAATTTTGCACAACACCTTGCCTCGTAAGAGCCAATCGCGTAAACGACGCACCGCGGCACACCGTCAATTTTACCGCGCGATGATTCAGCGTGCTTTTTAAGGCGCACCGATACGGTAACTGCCGATAAGGCGCACACGGCATACACGTCTTTCGTTTATTCCACTGACATCATATCCCGTAAGCAAGTTCCGCCTGGTTAGTAGTAGAGACTGCGACGGGAGCATCGTGGTAGGAATTACAAAGATTCGCTCCGTTGTTGTTCCGCCTCGTCGCTGCGAATCGTGTATCGCGCACGTCTTATCATATCACCCGCAAAAACGCATTTTCCGTATCTCCGAAGCATCATTACGCGCGTTATCGCAAGGGAGAATCCGCGAGTCGCTCACTTGTCACTGCACGTCGTCTTCGAGTATCACGGCCGATTTGATAGATCATTACGGACGTAGAATACAGAATCTTTTCCTCCCACGATCGACGGCGAACGAGCGGAGAAACGGTGAAACGTTTGCGAGAGGCACGCGCCCGCTCGCTCGCTCGCCTCGCTCTATCGCGATCCTTCGCGGTTTCAGCTTGACTGAGCCAGCCAGCCAGTCGACGGCGAGCTGGATGTTCACGTCGAAACCATCGAGTGGTGATACCCCACCTTCGCGCTCGGCCTCCGTTGCTGATAGATACAACGTGACGTGACGTGACGAAGAAGACGACGACGAGGATGACGATGGGTTCGTTCCTCGCAGACGATCGCGACTAGAAACCCAGACGATGTACGTTCTGCATGTCGTTTGCGATTTTGTTTAACCACAAAACCGATGGATGAAACGGCTTCTTACACGGCGACGAATGGAAGACCTTCGGCCTGAAAATAGGAACCTGAGATGCGTACACCGGGATTAGATGTCGTAATCCGTAATTAACAATTTAATCCTCTGTCTGCAATCGTATTTTTACTCCCTTTGTCTCTGCAATCCAGATCTTTTAAATAAACCAAAACCTAATTTAATAAAAATTAAAGTTTGAGCAAAAAAGAGGAGGAAAAAATGGAAATTTGTTTAAAAAATCATAACTCCTCTCCTAGTAACAAGGAAATCGAATTCCAGCGTTTATTTCGGAGAAATTTGAGAATGAAATTTGGCTTGTACCAAAAAAGATGCAAACTGCAAATACTTACATTTTTATCTACTAGTGTCTCTTTCTCTTCGCAGAAAGAATAAAAAAATACATGTCTCTGAGATATATTTTTTACATTAACTGAACCGTTATTTCTGAAACTTATCTCGAGTTCAATTTTATTTTGATTAATATCGTTTTGCAAGTCGAATTACAGCTTTCGATAGATTTTATTCCTATCACGCGACCTGATATTTCGACTTACAGAACATAGCGACGTTTTCTCATTAGCTTTCTCGTCGAGATGGCCAACCGAGAAACTTTCACTCATTGTTACTAACGTTACGCTTCGATTCGCGATCGCGTTTCGATGCTATTCAATTACGATTTGACTATTGTCACTGATTGGTTCCATCGCACGTGTATAACGAGGGAAACATAGTTCGAAAGAGGAAAAAAACAACTCTTTCATGTTCTTTTAATTACGCAATAAATAAAAATGCCTTCGATATAAGCAACGGAAATTATAAATTATCTCGCAACCGGAATTCGCTATTTTGCCTGCTCGATCCAGACAGATACCGCAGTTTCACTGCAGCATTCGTACGACGTTGTTCATTTTCCCATAATTATTCCGACGTAGATATCATGGAGATGTTATTGAACGAAAATATCGATAACCGACTTCTCACTTCTGTATCTTATATCACAGAATTTTTGTTCATTAAAAAATGTTGGAAGATAAAATATATTTCGGATAGCGGTTTTAAATATAATATTATATAAAACCGCATGACGTTATTTTTATGCAAAAGTGATGAAACCAGATATTTATCGATTCTTCGTAATAAATATTTGCGCAAATATTTACGATGTTATAAAAAATTTATGTTATAGAACAAATTAATCTCTTTTTATAACATATTCGTATAAACCATTTACATAAACAAGAAAAAAATTGACACGATATCAGTGATTTTTATCTATCTCTACAAAGATTTTTATAAATTTAATACAAAATAAGAATTTCATAATGATATAAAGAAATCTTACATTTCTTATTATTTTCTGCGATCATCAGCTATATTTACCTAAACTTTAGTCATTGTTTTTTATAACTTTTTATTTTATTTATTAATCCAATATTTTTTATATAACTGCTGAATGTAATACAATAAAAATTTCATCATATGATACGATGTTATATTTCTTATGAAACTATGATATTAAGACTATTATGAAATCAGCAATAAAAAATGTAGTGAAACTTTGCCTCAATATAATCTTCTGTCGAGCTCTCTTTCGTGTGATTAAAAGAAACGGTACAATCATCATTTCTTCATCGATGTATTATAAACAGCTCGCTCCGACGCACGTTGCTCATGTTAAAACATTATAGAACGTTAAGTGCGAAATGGTTTATGTCACGTTTCAAGATATACTTGATTTCGCGCAGGACGAACATTTTTCATGTTTGCAAAACAAAAGAATATAAAAAATCCAAAAATTCATTCTCTCGCAGAAATTTGTAAAAAAACAATGAAATATTTATATTTCTACAATAGAATAAATAATCGAATATATTATAAATATAATCACAGCTTAAAAATTTTTAAATAATACTGATTCATAATTTTTAAAATTTTC